GGCTTTGCCGGCTCAGTCCTTCCTCCGCCGGCTTAGCTGCCCTTCTCTCGCAGGCCCTGCAGCGTCGCCCGCCCGGCGCCTTCGCTGCTTTAGCTTAGAATGCCCTCAAATCTCCGACCGTTGACTGGGGTGGTCCTGCTTGTGAATTAGGACCGGCGCCCCCCGCTTCTTCTGCCTCTCCCCTGGAGGCTGCTCCACCGCTGGGGTTGGAGCCTGCTTGTTAAGGCTGGGGACGCGGAAGCGCGTTTGGATACAGCGTTGTTCCGCTTTTTAATGTGAGGTTGGTTATCCGACGCGAAAAGAACTTCTCGGGCGCTCTTCGCAAGGCTCTAAGTAACCCGAAACGAAATGGGATACGTTTTCCCGCAAAAGGGGCACTACAGAAGGAGGGACCTGAGTGTCGGTTGATCTTGGGGAAATTCTGCATCTGCCTTCTCTTCAGCTATACTTGTCTCCCTTTGATCCAAAATCTTAAACGATTTGGATGGACCTGATTAAACCATAAAGGCCAAGTGGCTTTCTAGCATGCTTTCCCTGCACACTTCAGGGGAAAGACTGTACAGAATAATAGCAGCTCTGCTAACAATGAGAATGTATATATGTATATATATGTATGTATATATGTACACACACACACACACACATATATGAATGAACACCCATAGAGGCGTCAGATCAGTTGATGTTTTCTAAAATTGTAAATTTTTGAGGTCCCCAGAATTCTGATAAAATAATTAGAAATGGGGGGGGGGGGCGAGGAGAATGTGTGTGTGTGTGTGGGAAGGGTGATGTGGCTGATCTTCTAGCCAGGTCTCTATCTGGCTCAGATTTTCAGGAGGTGTGACTCTAAACAATGTGGATATAGAATATGTCATATTCTGGTTTATTGAATGCAGACATTAAACAAGAGTGCAGTCCTGGGGAAGGGGCTGTGGAATGTAGGAATTCCTGTCTTTGCCTCCATTTGGGAGTTGGCAGCTGATGCAGGTTGTTTACATGCTTGGCATTTCCTGATCTGAGCCAAATGAGATCTCACATTCTCCCTTTCTCTCCAATCTTTTTTTTCCTTTTCTCTTTGTAAACAGAAAACATTTACAGATGCTTTACAGATTAAAATGCTGTCTTAAGACTTCTTGGCAGAGTAGGCTTAAAACATACAAACCCATAGGCAAATATGTATTATTATGATGTTTAGCAGATATCATTGAATAAAAATCAAATCACCAGAATTGTTCCATATCTGATTTTATTGTGGCTGTGTTTACTCTAGCCTGGTTTGTAATGCTTATTAGGAACCAACAAAAGCTAATCCAGTTATTTATGTAAACAAAAACAAATCTTACTTTTCTCCTGCCCCCCTATTTATCCAATATCAATGGATTTTACATGGATCTGATGCTGGAAAGTGAACTCTGGTAATTTTAAAGGGAGCTTGATTTTAGTAGAGTTCTAGCCTTAATTCATTAAGAAAGATCTCTTGAGAATGACTGTCTGTTGTAAAGTAAATAATGTCCCCTGGGGTAAGTCTTAGCATTTGTTAATCAAGGCATGGCACTAAAAAAATACCTTGTGTGTGCTTGCTGGTACTGAAATAGCAGTGCTTATCTGCAGTACATAAACAACTGTTAGTGGCATGCACGCACATTCTATGTGAAGCTACATTTCTGGGAATTGAAAGTAAAATCAGGAACTTGATTTTTAAATAGCTGTACATTATCTTCTGTGTATATAAACTCCAAGAGGAAATACATAAAAATATGAGTTTAGATTTTTTGCTCTTGTCTAAAACCTGAGGGCACTTTTATGTTATAATTGAATTATCTGCTGGAAAGTGTATATAAAATAAGGAATTGTATTTTTCAGTGTCTGAGCTGTAGAATAATTTTCCGTAGAATAAACCTAAGACAATTCTCCCATTTTAAAAATAAATTACATGGGGAAGCCTAATCTTTTTTTCAGATAAATCTGATAACTATGCTGAAAATCAAATAAATAGT